GCGTTATTTATATATAAAAAAATCGGTAAGTAAATACATCTGCACTTGCTTGAATTTGATTTGAACATTCGCTTGAAATGTTAAAAAAACCATGCTGTTCTACTTAGGTGTAATTGCCATAAACACAAACGGTGATGTATTGCATTGTTGTAACGTAGACTAAATCTAGGATTGCATTTGTATGGTACGCTTTAGGTGGTAGGGCCTATGTCTCGTTAGTCATATTCCTTGGCACTGCACACTTCATTAGCCATTGTAGGAGGTGACATCACCACTACGGCGGAAGGCAGCCTTTCAAAAATACCATCTCCAGCTGCAGTGCAGAGCACGAAGGAGTGCCCCCACTTGTTACTGTGAAGAGGGGCAGCTCTTGGCCCAAAGCTATTTTAGAGGGGAGGCTGTTACAGGACTGCAGGGGTGTGCAGAATGTGAGGGCAAAATAAAAAAAAGAGCCCTATGTGGTGAAATAGGCCTCCTGGAGTGTTTGCCTTTGCAGCTTTTGGCCACTAAATACGGCTGCTATGGGCCGGTTAATTTGCTCAGGGTTTGCCCATTAGACCATTGCTTCTGCTCAATAATGCTTACATGCAGGGAATTGCTCTGACGAGTGTTTGCTTGTTCAAAGTTGGGTGACGGCATCAGAGGCGGACGTTTGCACGTGAATTTTTGTAAGAAACACAAATACATGAAAACCTGAGCGATTTCATTTGATTATTATTTTAAACGCACGTATCGCATGTTCTCGTCAGGAAAGGTACCCCTGATCTTTGACGTTTTATCTCCAGAGTGGTCTTGTTTTTAAAACAAATTGTTTTAACTAAAGCAATGTATACGAGCGTATACAACATTTGAAGCATAATTCAGCATTATTTTTCCTGTACAATGGCATTATGATTTTACATCAAAGTGAAAACGATATTTATTTCAAATAGTCTCTTAACTCAATATTTACATTTACATTGTTTAAAATGATGATTTTCAATTCTTGGCAGGTGCTTCCAGAGACGGGCACGTGCTGTGGCCGCATAGTCATAACAAATCATCGGCGCTGTCCCATACAGCAGCGTACACAGCGGATAGCTTACAGCCCAACTGAAACTCCCGGAGCCCCTTAAACACGAAACCCGCCGGGGTTTTGGAAATGTAATCCCAGCTGTCATTCCAAACGGCGCCCCATATTTACGGAGAGGATCTCCATTGCCAATCTCCTCTGGATCACATTTCACTCCGGAGATTTGTCCCAAAGACTCACTCTGTGCTGTTCCCACTGTTATCAAGGGACCGGCACTTGTTAACATCTCCTCCTTATTCACTTATCCTTTTTTGCTATTCCATTTTTATCTTATTTTAGGTTATCCCCCTAGCCACAGATTTTGTTATGTTTCCTGCCAGCACGCTTGCAGTGTTGCTTAATGTTGTTTCATGAATCTCAAGGATAAGCGACATTTGGTTTCCATCAATGTACGCCAGATTAAAACTGTAATACATTTCGTGAAGAACTCGGTAAGTTAACAACATACAAGTTTCAAGTTTCATTTATTAGGTAAAGCCCTGTGAGCCATGCGGCTCTTGAGTCGGGTGCAACCGCAACAAACAAAATATGAACAGAGAACATCTTAAAGCGACGAATGTGCAATAGAAACATCCTGGATAAACCAGCAAATCTTCCAGAAAAAACCGACCGTATTACAACGCTGTGTGCAAAAATCCCAGTGTGATGCAAGTCAAAAATAACAACCATAAGACAATTTAGATTAAAGTTATCAGGCTAACTCCGCAAGAAACATGGCTTAACCATATGTTTTCAAAATCACCAAAATAAAGCTATAAAAACAATGTAACAACAGTAATCATAGGAACTGTGATTCAGTGCTTGTTTAAGTTCTTCTAAGAATCTGTAATTATACCATTGTAAAATGTTTATATTTTTGTGAACTCATCAAATCATTTATTTTGTATACCACTTGTTTTGAATCCCAATAAGTGACCTGGGAGAGAAAGACTACGGGCATTTTAAACAGATGGTGGTGTCTTCAGTCTCCATCGACTGCGAGTTTCTGATCTCCAAGGCCTGGGAACTCCAGAGCCTGGGTGCCGTGCAGACAAAAGCTCGGTGGTCAGCCCAGGCTCGAAGCCTGGAGCCCAGTTACACCGAGTAAGGCCACGATTGGTGGATCTCAGTGGAGTGTGTGGCCGAATTAACTCGTGGATATATATATATATACGTATGTATCTTGAACTTCTTTCGCACCGTACGTAGCCAACCGTGCTAATCAGAGGTGCAGGGGAAGGACAACAAACTGCACACAAAAAACATTTCTAAAAAAATCCGTTTCCAATTTATGATGGAGCAAGCCGATTCAAAGCAAGCAATCCCAATTAAGGAGATGTTTAAACTCAATGCGTGTTTGAATTGGAAGCCAATGCAGAGCCATGACCACAGATGAGATATGGTCCCGATGAGGAGTGGGAGTGACCACCCAGAATACCATTAAGTTCAGGCTCGCGTGCTTTTAAACCATGCAGTCTAGAAACTGCCCGTCAGCCACTGACAAGCCAGGATATCAGGCTTTCTCGAGATGACATACTTTTGGATGCTGTGCCCTTGCTCGATTTACTGTCGGCGGTTGCAAGCACTACCATACACTGGGCGTCACTTGCTGGACGACCCTTGAACCCAGGTAAAAGTGTGCTGCCCCTGGGCCTCACAGGCGCACGCCTGACTGACTGAGCCTGCACATTCAGACGTGTGTTTTACAACCACGACTCAATCTGCCTCCAGGCAGTACGCAGCGCCACTGCTTATCCGATAAATTACAACGAACGTAATATTTTTTTTGAGATCAGTCACCGGTTTGGATGTTTGTTGTCGCGTGACGGCAATTTTGTTTTTTTTCCACCGGCGTTGTTTTTGTGCGTAAATGTGCACATTTAGTTATTATCAATACCGAGGAGTGGAGGCTCCACTTTCAGCAGGACTTCGGCGATGGTGTGCCACCTCTGGACATAAAGCGTTTTTTTTTCTTGCAATTCGCACCGGCGGGAAACGGCACGAGCGATCTTCCGGAGCGAGTGCTGGAGCTCATCGCCACCTTGGCGGCGTGGCGCGATTGTCGTCTACTTGCGATTGAATGCGCGCAAGCCTCTCCTTCGCGAAAGCCGTCAGTCAGTGGTGTGGCTTGTGCGGTTTTGTCACGCAGCACGCACCAATCAATCCATCGCCCACACACCCCTTTCACACGCCCGCCCCCGGGGGCTGTTGGACAAGACAGGCCCACAAAAGACTTTGTTTTGGGAACAACAAGTCTCGTCAAGTTGATGAAACCCCAAATGAGTCCCGCTGAATGCCTATAGAAACACAGGGGCCGTATGTGGTTTCATGTGGGCTCCCGCTTGATTGTAGCCCTTGCAGTCTTTCCATTTGGGCCCTCCACATTCCCTGCTCGCACTGAGACGAGAGGAGCTTGGGCATTTGATTGTGTTCCGGCGCTTTCACGTTCTCCATCTGCTCTTCGAGACCCACAGCATGAACTGGTTAAAAGGCTGAAGGGTGACCTGCATGGACAGTCAAACTGTCCAATTTACTGGCTTAAGGCACTTTTTAGGCATTTTTTGGGGGGTAAAACACGCACAGCAGACTTATCGCAACCGTAACTAGCTCTTTGTAATTCTAGACAGACAGTCGTGTTGTGACCTGTCTATGAAATCAAATTTTAGGACGTACAGTTTTAACACGTGACATTAAGCACTGAAGCTCTGAGTTTTCTAATGTACTGTAAACAAAAACACTGACTTTATGAATGTTACTGTATGATGGGGGGGGGGGGAGTGTGGGCCTCCTGCAAGCGTTGCTGGTTGCTGCAATTCTCGGGTCAAGTGCTGCCACAAAGGAGCACAGCTGACTTCAGAATGGTTTATCGAGAGGTCGACAGCTCGTCGCCTGCAGCTCTGGGAGAGCCAGGGCAGCTTGGTGCCTTGCCTCAAAAAAGGCTGTACATTTTTTAAAAGAAATGTTCAGAAATATATTACTTGCAGTGGTATATTTGACACGTATATTGCATATGCGTATGTGTGTGTGAAGGACCAGTAGTGTAGTATACTGTTTGTGTTTAGCTGTGCTACGATTCCCAGCGTTCCAAGTTCGATTACTGGATTGACACTACACTAGTTGCATTGGGTAAGTGGAAAAAGTGTGAACTTATCCTGGACCTCCCCTAGATCAGCTCAGACCGAAATTAACTATATCTCATGTGGTGTGGGCAATGTCAGCACAAAATGTGCATGGTGCTTTTGACATACCACTCGGTTATGTGCGGCATTGACCGTAGTAGGGTCTCACAATACTTGCCCCTGACAGGCAATCAGCCAAGCTAAAAGGGGACCTTTGTTTTACATCCTGTACATGCGATGCATGTGCAGCGTGTGCGAGACTCTACACATTTTGATTTCACCTCATTCCAAAACAATCGCTCGCTCTGGTGTATGACCAACCCCGATGCCCCCCTACCCCCCCCCCCCCCCCCCCCCACTTATGAGCAGATGAATGGGGGGGCCCGCTCAGCCTTTGGGGAACGCAGATCAAAGGCGGCTTTGGCCACGTTATGCTAATCGCCGTAAGTCGGCGTCCGTAACGAGCGAAGGCTGTAATCCCCGGCTTACTGGAGTGGTCAATGGGACCTCTTTGTGGCAGCCGACCGCTTTTGCTCAAAGGACGTGCGCCTTCGTCTGGATACGCGAGCCTGGCAGGACTTAAATATGAAGTCGTTGTGAGAAATTTTGCTTCGGGAAAGCAATGGTTCGTTTTGCAGAACTGCAAGCACTTCTTTAACACTAATTGAAACATGTTTTAGCAGCCATCCAAGAACAAAGTAATGCATCCTGCATGCCCCCTTCTTGTTTATTCATAAATGGGCCATTCAGCGGGGGGGAGGGGGGTGGCACATTGCGTTTTTCTGCAGCTGAACAGTTTTGCCATGTGTGTGTGTTTGCGTGCTGTGCAGAGGAGGGCAGCACAGGGAGCAGCGGTGCGTTGCGAACATCGGTGATCAATGCCAGGACCGGGGAAGATGGCCACTTGGGCAAAGCCGGCAGTAAGTCCATCCTCGGATCTCAACTCCCGCACCTCTGATTATCACGGTTGGCTACGTATGGCATAAAAGAAGTTCAACATATATACTCCAGTGTCAGTTTTGTTTCAAACACAACACTTCCGCTAGGCAAGATTGCCACGTTTGTGATACTCTGAATACAGGATCTTATTTTGGCAAATACATGTATACTTATATTTGGAAGAACAATATGTACAACTGAACGTAATGTAATGTGACTGGCTCATTCAATATTATTCTGATAACAGTATGACATACACCATGTTTGCTTGCAAGGCTGTGAGCACCACGGGATTTACCTATTGTCCTGTCGATTATGATTAGAATATGGGGACAGGGCAACCCTCATTAGTGTTGACAGAGGCCAATCCATATTCCAAGAAAAGACATTGCATTTCTCAGCAATGGGGGATACGAGAATTTACCTAGGATGACCTGCTCAATAAAATGAGAACATCACCTTGAACGGACGTTCGCGAATAGCAGCCCATTCCATGCGTGCGCGTACTTACACGCGTGTCCGTGTGTGTGTGTGCGCGCGTGCGCTGTGCGTGCTGTGCGCGCCTCCTCAGTGAAGCCGAGGTTCACGCAGCCGGCCAAGATGCGTCGGCGCGTGATCGCGAGGCCCGTCGGCAGCTCCGTCCGCCTCAAGTGCAGCGCGGGCGGCAGCCCCCGGCCGGACGTCGTTTGGTTCAAGGACGAGCACGTGCTGGGCGACGCCGGGCCGTCGCCCACCGCGGCTTCCCTGGCGCTGGACGTGAGGGCGGCCGCTCGTGGCGACGGCGACGGGATGCCTCCCGACCTCCGGAAGGCGCAAGGCAAAAAGAGGTGGACGCTGATCCTGCGGAGCCTGCGGCCAGAGGACGCGGGGCGCTACACGTGCCGCGTGTCCAACCGGTTCGGGGAAATCAGCGCCACCTACAAGATCGATGTTATCGGTGAATATTCTGATAATACTCCCGTGTGCGTGTGTGTGTGTTAGTGGGGAGCGGTGGTGCAGCAGTTAGCGCGCTGTAAATCCGTGGACCCCAGAGTTCGATTCCAGCTCACGGCCAACACCAATTACGATTATCGGAACCAGTCGTGGGCCTCCCCTAGGTCGACTCGGCCTCAAATTAGTGTCTGGTGTGGTGTGTGACTGGGCCACCCACACCCTCGTGTGTTGTGCCAGCCTTCATAGGTGCTCGCTAAAAGCACTTGCTTTTCTTTGGAGAGTTGACTTGGCAATGCGTTACTTCACAATACGTTGCCTATGACCAAATCAGGCTTGTACCCAATGTCATCAGATTACAGAGGATAAGCAAATTGGAGCCCAGTACTTCAAAGTACTGGGATGTGGGCAGCCAGGTAATAGCGGTACAGCAGTGGATTGAATCTAACCTGCACAGCTTTGAGTGATATCCTTTGTATAATTATCTCCAGCGACTACAATTTCCTCCCACATGCCAAGAATTAATGGGATTGTCAAAACAATAAGAGTCTTAGACTCAGTGAGGTTTTTGTGGATGAAGAAAGGGCATTGTTATTATTTATTGACCCATATTTGATTCCTCATTATGCATATACAGTTAATGGTAATTTGTAGGGTTAAGCTGAAGAACAATTCTCTCACATCCAGATTTAGCATTTTGGATAAATATTTGATTGTGAAAAATGTTGCACTTTAATTTACCGGCGAGCTGAAACAAAGATCATTGATTGGCGTGTCAAACGCTCGCATACGCCGCAGTTTACATTTGTCCAGCTATGCCGGGTGGTGCCGTGGGCTCGTGCCACACGAATTTGACCCATTGTCGCCTGACCCTAAAGAAATCTATTTCGAAATGAACGCACACCGAAGCGCGCGACAAACTGACGCGTGTGCCTCTCAACCTACCCAGAGCGGATGCGCTCCAAGCCGGTGCTGACGGGCACGCACCCCGTCAACACCACTGTGGACTTTGGCGGCTCCACCTCGCTCCAGTGCAAGGTGCGCAGCGACGTGAAGCCCGTCATCCAGTGGCTGAAGCGCGTGGAGCCGGGCGGCGTGCACGGGCTCAACTCCACCATCGACGTCCGCGGCCAACGCTTCGCCGTGCTGCCCACGGGGGAGGTGTGGTCGCGTCCGGACGGCTCCTACCTCAACAAGCTGGTGATCGTGAGGGCGCGCGCGGAGGACGCCGGCATGTACATCTGCCTGGGCGCCAACAGCATGGGCTACAGCTTCCGCAGCGCCTTCCTCACCGTGCAGTCCGGTACGCTGGCTTTGCAGACGCGGGGGGGGGCGACGTCGCAGTGCGTGCGTGTAACCGTGTACGTAACCGTGTACGTAACCGTATACGTTACCATATACGCTTGCGGCAGAGTGAAACGCAGCCGCGCACGCTAAACGCCTTCCTAATATTGTATCGATTTTATATGTAGAGCCTTATTCCAAGTCGCTTTACAGCGATTGTAAATTGCACGTAAGATCGGAATCTTTATTTATACTGGAGGTTGAGATAAAGAGTGGGGTTGTTATTAAAAGTGGTGGTGTAGTCACAGTGACACCTCAGGACGAGAGGCGGGAGAGGTCATGGAGGGGTTGTGTGTAGGCCTGGTCGTAGCCGTGGTGCGTTGACTCGAGAAAAATTAACCCGTAAAAACAAAGTTTTTCACTATAAATCCATTATATGCGTGTTCAATGGGCCACAACCCAGCCCACATTGGTCTTTGAAACGGGCGGCTAGAGTCCTCTCGTCCTCTGGCTTGAGATGGCTGCCATCTATGGGTCAGATGAATGGCTGCCACCATTAAGCAATTGGTAATTAAATATAATTTATTTTTTCCTAAAAAGTGTAACATTTTGGAATTTTTTTTCACGAAAATACATTGTCACGCACAACGAGTCTGTGTGCAAAATGTCAGCTCGATTGGATCACGGGAAGTGGGTTAAAAAACGACCGAAAGATTTGCACGGTCGTAAGCAAGCAAGCAAGCATGCAAGCAAGCAAGCAAGTGAACTTAATATAAAGGATTTAAAAAAATAATCAAATGTTCGTTTATTTGAAAATATTATTGTTATTATAATATGCCTGACCATTGTCATTGTTACATTGCACAACGTTTGCGACCAAAGTATTTATATAGATTTTGCTCTAAGCAATACTCATATATAGGCCATCAATTCTTGACATATGGTATACATTTGTGAAGGAGTCAAAACATTTTAAAATATATATCCATTCCACACATACATAGAGCATAGCTGTGGGCTACAATATTTCAAACGTGGTTGACTTTTCCGTGCTTTGTTGCTCAATCAGATCCCACCAAGATGAAGAGAGAGCCCTTACCAAGTGCGAGCGCCCTGCCCTGGCCGGCCATCGTTGGTATTCCCACCGGGGTCTGCCTACTCTTGGCCATGGCGACATTCTGGCTTTGCCGGCATCACAATCGATGCCGGCTGTGTCGACCTTCATCGCCTGCCGGACAAGGGGCACCATTGCCTGGGTCACCTGACGCCCAGCGTTTTCACCAGCAGGCTCTGCCTCACTTACAGCAACTGCAGCACCATCAGCAGCAGCAGCAACAACAACAACAGCTGCAGTATGGTCACATCAACGGCAAGCGCGGTGGGGAGCGTGCAGCCTCGGCTCAGGCCACGCTCTCCGAGAAGGAGGGCAGCTCGCTGGCGGGAGGCCCCGAGGAGTGCGCGCTGCCCGTGGCCGCTGGCATCGCGCAGACACCCACGCAGCCCGTGGTGCTCGGCGCTCCGCGGACTTTCCCGCCGTCAAAGTTCTACCACATGGACGTGCACAGCCACTACCACGCACACGCGGAGGGCAAAGTGCAAGAGCACCAGTACGTGCACTACAAGTGTTAGCGAGGGGGTCCCGCTCCTTCTCCAGCTCCGAACCAGAGCTGTTTATTGTTTGGCTTTGTATAAAGGGCGGAAGGAGAGAGATGTGAAGGCAGGTCCCATCAGTCTAGACCTTTGCCTGGGGGGAATTTCACTGCATCTCATGTTGCCGAGTCAACATTACGTAGCAACCCACGGTGGTAAGGCCTGGCAAACGTCTTTTCCTTAGAGCACCACTGGGGCGAAACAAAGGAATGCACGACGTTCTGCTTGAGCAGGCCAGAGACACAGCCTGTGACTCACCCGGGGGCGAAGTCTCGCAGACTTCCCTGCCCCTCCCACCTGTGGGTAACGGTCGACCCACGATTTGGGCAGCTAATGAGTAACACTTGTAAGCGAGTGCTGCGGTCAGATTGAAGATAAACAAAGCTAATTAAAGGAATGGCTAAACATTTGCCGAAATCTTATTTAACGTGCAAGCGACATATGCCTCACAAAGACTTGAGTATCGGTCTACTGTTAATCTTCGTTCGCCATTAGTACCCTTGGAAAATTACGTGAATTTTTACTCTCCATTGAAAACTTTTGTTTTGAGGAAACGTAATCAAATGACTTTTGTAATGCAGGAAAATATATTTGTAAACAGAGTTATACATCAAACTAAATTAAGGATTGTTTGCAATGTTTTTTTTATATGTTATTGGAATTTTTATTTGATACAAATCACAGGAAAAGGGTAGTCATTTAAAACATATCTTAAGTCATATATAGATCTTCTTGGTTCTTTATTTTATTATGTTTTATTTTTATTATTTTATTATTTCCGTTCTACGTGACTTTACCGAAAGAACCAAGAAGATGAATCCCTGCAGTCACGAAAGCTTTAAATCATATATAGATGGCCATTTCAAATAGTTTGTACCATTAGAGCATATGTATGACCTGTTACTAACATGGTTACCATCATTACAATCCATATGTGCATACATATATTACTGCCTGATTAAAAATACAGATTCTAGTTAGTATTAACGTTATCAAATGAAACATACATTTACAAAAAAAATAGGTTTAGGGTTATCAAATGTTGCCTTTTTAAAGTGGTAATACCATTTTTATTTGTTTTATAACAAGTCACATCGTCCACAGTATTTTTTTAACACTTGTCACGTGTTGACATGAAGAGAGAAATATATGGAAATCAAATTGTATAGAAACGAGTTCTAATGGTCTTCTCTGTCCGTGGTATGGAAATCGGGCATCCACAGGGCCTCCACGTTTAGAATGTTGCCAGACTGGTGTCATCATTTATGACACTCACGGGCACCCAAAGACAATCTGTACCCGCGCGCAATCAATCATATCAAAACATCTGCTTATTAAACTAAAAGTGAAACGTTTTTGTATTGATATACACACACCTCTATATTTGTATTTAATCATTATGACAGCGTTTGTGTATATATTTATTGTGTAAAGTTTACCTGTAAAAGTGTGCAGGTGCGTCATGTGAGATCTTTTTACAATGGTGTCAGATTTTGCGTAGTTAAGACCGAAATAATTGTGCCTTTCATTATAATTATTGTTGTATTTTTAAGCTGAGTTGTACAATTTAGCCATTCATTTCCAATAAACAAAACACATCTTAAAATATCAGGGATATTTGAGAACGCAAATTATATATATTTCTGTGATGTATGTGTACAGTAAAATTAAGCTTAATCATATTAATGAAAAAAAATCCAGTTTATTCTGTATATTTTAAATAATCCGTAGCAATTCAAATGAATGAATTGCGAGATATGTTTTTGTTTATTTCAAAATTATATCGCTATAATGTATTTTGTTTGACCACAGTGCAGCTTGTGAGCATCAAGCTTGTGATCCATATCCATTCCCTTGTTGGAGTTCTTAGATTGTTCTATTCCAATAAAGCATAAAGGATTGGGAAACTAAGTGTTGGGCATGGATCGCTCATGACTTACGCGATTGTTCTAAATTGACATGTGCAACGAACAGATACACTTGTGATTTGACCAAATCACATTTGATTTAATAAGCAACTGGTGGGTTTTTTTCCGGCAAGGTTTAGATATCCCTTCTTTCAAAGACACACTTGGATGAGAATGGAGATTATTTTTTTCGATACTGTACATAATATAACGTAGTGGAAAAATAATCTAAGCTTCCTGAACATTGTCCATGCTTTTTCCACTTGAAGATTTCTGGACAGTTTATTAAAATCATAAATAAAATAAACGCTTCGCATGGAAATCTACGTTCGAGACTTCATCGAGACACACATCCAAACTATTTACCTAGTAAGTGTATAAATGAAATGTGAAATAAAAAACTAAATGGCACTATCCAAAGTGTGCTTTTGTAACCTTTATCCTGAATGGTTCCTTATTTAATGTCTGTTACAGTATTTCGTCAGTAAGCATTTGCTTTATACATTAAAATGTTCAAGGATATTTTCTTCAGTGTTTTTTGTTTCCACTTTTTCTCCCCTAAGAATATATCATGTTCCTTAAAAGAAAACACTTATACACAATGTCTCCAAGGTATGAAGGCTGGTTGCTCATTTCAGTACAGTATAAAAAAAAAGTATTTCACAAAAATTGATCAAACATCGCCTGTGTCAAGATTCTCCCGTGCGTGTTCCATTCGACTGAATCCCATCTCTTGGACTGAATTGTTTATAAATGTTTATTATATCATTTTATAAATGAAACCTATCATATAACGTGTATGAAAAGAAAGGTATATATTTTGTTTGATGTTACGTCTTTGCAATGTTTTCAAAATGATCTGTGCTGAATGGATAAATAAAGTATCGCAATTCATTTTTGTCAACTACATAAATGGTATGTCCTCTCTTTGAATGCACATTCTCTTGTTTAATAAAAGAGTAAATTCTCTGTTTATTCTCTACAAAGCAAACATTACAGAGAAGATCCTTATCTAGAAACTGGACATCTGTGAAAAAGAGCTTTATAGCTCATCGGATTCCTCCAGTATAAATATTCTGATTCTGATCAACACATCTGGCAGTTCACAAGTGTCTGACTGCTGATGAGACGCTCAATATTGAAACTTTCAAAGCTGCTTGTTTTCAACCGATATTACTGAAATGATGCACTCTCAGAACACTCTGTGGCTGATGGGATGTATAAGATCTACTTAATTATTTATGTGGAAGGACAGATATGGGAGGCTTATTGTCTTCACCACGTGTCTGCCATAATTGAGCATCGCATTCCCAGCAGCAAAATCCTATTCGTTGTGAGCGCGCGAGTCCTTGACTTTACAGTGAGACCGCATGGGAGTGTGTTGACATGATGCAAGAGCGTCCAACCTCACATCTCATCCCTCCCTTCACACTTTAAAATTTAAATAGCGGTAACTCAACTTTCCATGGCCTAATTGCATTCATCGGCATCATCATCAGCCATGTTATGATTCACTGCTGGATTAAGACCTCCCCAAGCTGTGGTGTGGAGTAAACATCGCTAGCACTGGGGAGACAAAGGTGGTCGGGCGTGGTGCTGGCCACCCACCCCCTCGTGTGCCGTGCCGGCCTTCATAGGTGCTTGCTAACAGTATTCTTAGGTTTTTTCGGTAAAGTCACGTAGGTAAAAACATTAAAAAGTAAAATAAAATAATATTTTATTTTACTTTTTAATGTATATTTTATTTTACTTTTTAATGTTTTACCTACGTGACTTTACCGAAAAAACCTAAGAATATGAATCATTGCAGTCACGAAAGCTTCAAATCTAGAATTGCTAACAGTACTTGCCCCTACAGTCTGTTATAGGCTATACGGGGGATCTTTGTCTCAGACCAATATTAATTTCAAAACATATTTCTCGACTATCACAATTGCAATTTTTGTCTATAGTACAATCCCGCACCTCCGATTAGCATGGTTCGCTACGTATGGTACGAAATAAGTTCAACATACATACATAAAACACTAATATTTTCATCTACCCTAAAAATGACAGGTATGCATAGATTCTAAATGTTTGATCGTATGTCTCCCGCGGACTTTAACATTGTAAAGTTCAATTGAAAAGCAAATGCTGTCTCAGCTAAGGATTTATATAGGACTTTAAAGAAGCTTTGGCATTATATCTGATCTTGGACAAGTCTCTAGAGGACTTTAAAGGATCAGAAAAAGATTCAGAACTGCACATGACAAAGCAGATACAAATGTTTCTCAGATACACCAACCTATTGGTTTTATGTCCAGGGCAGGTTAGGCTATACAAAAGAAAAACATTATGTTAAGTTACACTTTCACACTGCAAAGCATCATTTAATCTTGCTCGCGAAGTGGATATATTAAAACACCTGTTGGCTCCCCGAACTAAATTGAGGGTGAGGCATGAATAACCTATTTGTCATGCTAGTAAGACAGATCTCTGGACATTGTTTCAATGATGGTAAATTCAATGCCCTCAAAGTTCGTGCTCCAAATCTAGCCACATGTTTTCCTGACAAATTACAGTACGTATTTTAAAGTGCCTATTTTCAGCTAATTGCCAATAACAACCTGTAACAGAACTCAGATGATTGCAGTTCATAATTATCATCCCATACATGTACAGCATATAGAGCTTGATATTGGCTCCATTGCTCAAGCACCCACCTGTCCAGCAAGCAGCCAAAATTAGTCAATGCCAACGAGTCACATACCAACCCCCACAGAATACACGCAAAGAGAACCAACACTCAACGTTTTGGTGGGACGAAAAATAATACACCACCACATCACGAAGGGGCTTTCCTTTTTCTTGGGTCAGCCTTAAGCTTCGGTTACACTTTAAGAATAATGATTTCATGGGAAGCACACACGCGCACCAACTGCTGACCTAAAGTAAACATTGAAGAGAAAGTCTGTAAAAGTATGAAATAAACCAAAAACTAATTCATCATGGTAGTTTCATTTGACACTAACACAACACGGCTAGTTATAGCCCTTAGGGACGCTGTGTGCGTGATGTCTGGTCTGCCTGTGAGCTGATCTCTCTTCGCCCCTCTTGAGCGTCGATGGATGGAGGGGGGGGGGACGCTTCTCGGCATCAATCGAACCGGCGAGCAAAGGAAACAACCGCAAGCTCCGCCAGCATTTTGCCGGGGTTTTGGGTCACACTTTACCGCATGCCAGTCGCCAGATGAAAGCAGAACTTATTTGATGTGAGTCCAGCGCTTGATAACTATTGTAGCCAATTCCCTACCCAGGGACTTTTACACTTATGCCTCAATAATTGCACGGTTTGCTCTGAGTGGTTTGCCACACCATATAATCTTTCCTCGTCGGTTTTTGTTGCTGCTGTTTTCTGTATTGTTTCTGGTGCTTTCTTCCATATTGAAATCGTCAAAAACATATACAGTACGGAGCAAGGTGATATATTTTCAAATATAAACAAATGGAGAAAAATGAAAACAACAATGTGGAAATTATACATCCTGTTGCGGGTGTTGTGGTGCTTGTGTTTATTTTGGAAATGGAAAAAAAAGTAACCCGTAAAAACAAAGTTTTTCACTATAAATCCTTTATATGCGTGGCATTGGTTTTATTTTATTATTCATTTCTGTTTTTCTTGAGTAAGAGTTTCATTTTTATCACATTGGTATTTTAAATTAAATATTTAAAAAAATTCCTAAAAAGTGGAAAATTTTGGAAAAACATTTTCACGAAAATAAATTGTCACGCACAACGAGTCTGTGTGCAAAATGTCAGCTCGACTGAATCACGGGAAGTGGGTTAAAAAACGACCGAAAGATTTGCACGGTCGTAAGCGCGCAAGCAAGTGAACTTAATATAAAGGATTTAAAAAGAAACATTGTTATGGCCTAAGAAAATTTTTGAACCCAACTTCGCACATATTTTTAAACAGAAGATTTGCTTTTATTACCAAAGTCCAAAACAACATTTCATGAAATGTTTGAGTAGGATGAAATGTAATGTTACCTTGAAATAAAGGCCAGTGTGCAATCAATATTTCAATTCCTTACAATTGCATTTTTTGAGTAGCTATGCGCTGATGAGGGCAATTATGTGATCACTTTGCAAATTCATTAGAGATTTAGGTTGCTGTCTGTTTACACCCCACGCTCGTGCCGGTGCTTGGATTCAAAGAGCTGTCCAGCATTGCTTTGTAAAGGTGTTTCACATTAAAGGGTGCTGTGGAAAGCAGCTGGGGACGTCAGCTCGGCTCAGTATTCTTCTGCGCATAATTATTGAGAGCTGCAGTGGTTCAGATCCAGAGGTTGTGAAAAAAATGAGGGCACGCAATGGGGCAAGGCTCCATTTAGTGGGGGGAGGGGGGGGAGAAGAAAAAGCCACCAATGAATTAAGGACACATGCGCGCTCTCAGTTGTCGAATAGATGGAGCCTCCAGCATAAGATGGATGACATTTTTTCAAAGACAAATAGCAACATTCCGTTGTGTTTTTTAGTGGCATAGCCTGCCTATGACCAAATCACCTGGAATGTGCTTGATCTGTTCAGATCCTGGAAGCTAAGCAGCATTGAGCCTGGATAGTGTTTGTATCGGCTGCCACCATGCATAGCAGGTGCTATAGCTGGCTGCAGGGCTATGTTATAGGTCCATCGATCCATCGATGTAGTGAACGTCTATGCTCCCATGCCTATGTTCGCCACCTTCATCAACCCACATTAATTGGTGTGAAGTATGATAAATGAATCCCCGTTACGCCCATTGAATGGCGAGGCCTTCATCCAAGAGTGGATTAATAAAGGACCGTACAGTACTAGCTTGTTCATTTCTTTATCTTTAAATTATACACTGTGATGGTGCTCATTGAGTTCTGAAAGTACGTTTATATGTGAAATAATGACATTAAAAATAATATATATGCACTTTTTTGCCGTTTAAAAATATGCGGTTTGGTAACATAGATTTGAAGCTTTCGTGACTGCAAGGATTCATACTCTTGGGTTTTTTCGGTAAAGTCACGTAGGTAATAAAAAATAAAATAATAATAAATTAAAATATCTAAATTAAATCACGACGCATCGGAGGCAACACAAGTCTCCGTCTTCAGGTGGGACCGTCACAGCCAAATTTACTGTATCAACTTAGTTATTTTCATCTATTATTATTTTATGTTTATTATTTTTTACCTACGTGACTTTACCGCAAAAACCTAAGAGTTTGGTAACATCTCATGGTAGCATTCTCTTAAAAAGCTTGTTGTGAAATCCTTATTGTCTACAGAACATGTTGGACGTTGTGACATTATCTAAGCTTTACTGAAGAAGGTGATACATAGACGTGGCTATGCTTTATTTGAGATGTCAATAAATTATTTGCTTGCATGTCGTCGTTCCACGGGTAACATCGATTGCTTCATATGCCCTTCATTCCTACATCGTCTGATGGAAAACTACTGCCATCACACGTATCACCTTCAAAGTAGGATCTTGGGACTCCTCATACGTTTCCTCTGACAATCCGTCTGCTTGTGGCCTGTGCAGTGTAATTGGAGCACAAGCAGGTTCGATGCTGATCTCCAAAGCTCTGTGTGCGGTGCGTGCGGTGAGAAGTATTCGCTCCCGATGGTATTGCCGATCCTGGCAGCAGCGGCAAGGTGCAAACCAAGGCAAACCCGAAACCTGCAAACTTAAATTATTTCCCTCATGATCTTTTTGTTTGTGTTGTTGTTGAAGTTATAAATACCAAGCAAGTGCACCTGGACATGCGCCAGGCCATCGTGAGACAAGGTTACCTGCTTTGTGTCGCTATGAGATGCAGATGTATCGAGAGGGAAGGGTCGGGGGAGCACGCAGAGTCGTCTAACAAAATCCACA